CAACAACAACAACATTGAGTGCTAGGCCTTATGCCCAGTTATCTGAGTTCTGTCTCCCTGTGTGAGATTTGTATCCTGATGGTGATCTGCTATGGTGGGAGTAATTGAACTATACCATACCATGTGTTCAGCTATGATTGATATGCCATGGGCAGCTTCTGCAGGCTGGCTCTCTTCAAATGTATTTTTCTTTGCCTTTGGTCTTGCACCAAGTCCAGAGGCAAAGTTCTGTCATTGATAGGACAGACAATATGTTCTGGAGGAATATAGCATATTGATCAATCAATCAAGATTGGCCGTCAGTCAAGAAGTCTCCCAGAGTGACTTGCAAGTAGTCGATCTGACAGTTTCCTGTCCTCATACTTACAATCTAAATAAGACAAGACTCACAAGGAAAAAGCAATAACAGAGCAATGGCAGTTGAAATGGAGGGAGGGCCTTTCACCAACCACTGGAGCCCAGGCATGCTGGCACTGTGCTTGGCTCCTCTTCTCCCTCAGAGGCCAGAGCAATGGCAGTTGGAATATAGAGAAAAGATCATAAAGACTTTGCAAGCATGGCTGGCAGGCAGGCGCAGGTTGCATGTACATCCCATGCAGACACTGCATAAGATGCCCAGCGTGGTATTTCACCCCTCTCTCATCTTCAGAACAACACATTATCTGTTGGGGCTACTGGGAAGGAGCCCCCAAGACCAAAGCAACTACCATCCTGATCACCAGTGACCAGAGATGTGACCTTCCTGTTCACAACGTCCTTCTCTCCCCACAGCCCATCACGTGATCTCCGAGGCCAAGGGTCCCTGCTTCCGGGTGCTGCGAGATGGCGGGTGCTCCTTGCCCATCCTACGCAACATCACCAAACAGATCTGTTGCTGCAGCCGGGTGGGCAAGGCCTGGGGACATGGCTGTGAACGCTGCCCGACTTTTGGCTCAGGTGAGAGGTCCTGGGAGAAGGGAAGGAGAAGTGGTCAGTGGTGGCAGGATGTGTGTGTGCCTCTTCCCAGACAGTCTCCCTGCTGTGTCAAAGCCTTGAAAGAAGGTTGGAAAGACAAAGCACCCTTTTCTGTCTTGTAAGAACAAAAGGAGGGTGTCTCTGAGCATGTACAGAGGGCTGTGTTCCCTCCTTCCCTGCACTCCTCTCCCTTGTGTGCACACAAGCAAACACATCTGGATTCAAAGGGAAGGGTTTGGAGGACACTGAGTGTTAATTCCAGACAGACTACAGGTTAGCACATAAGCACTGAAATGAAGGGGAGAAGTGGGGTGAACTCCCCTTCAATGTTCCTACTTTCTCTCATGGTACTTTTTTCTCTTTGGTAGATGGATTCAAGGAGATCTGTCCAGCTGGGCCTGGCTACCACTATTCAGCCTCTGACCTCCGCTATGACACTCGCTTCCTTGGTCAAGATCTACCCCGGGTGCCAATCAGCCGCCAGCAACCTGGACGGGAACCTGCTGCCCAGCCTCCTCGGACAACAGTGGCACCGGCCATCAGTATGTTACCCACCCACCCCTTTTGCTCAGTTTTCCTATGATATATAGAGATGTCCCAGCTCCCTTGAGAGTCAGTGTAGTTACAGTGGTTTGACTGGTGGACTAGAACTCCAGAAGACCAGTGTTCAAATCCACACTCAGCCATGGAAACCCACCTTGAGCAAATCAAGAGAAGGCAGTGACCAACTTCCTCTGAAGAAATGCAGCCAGGAAAACCTTATGATAGGATGTCTCTAAATCAGAATTGACTTGAAGGCACATACAACAGCAGCAGCTCCCTTGCTTTGGTTGTGGTGGACCCACTGAAAGCCACCTCTTCTCTTCTTGCCACGGTCTTGGGTCTGGCACCCTTGAGCCAGCTTCTTTGACTTGGAAATTTGGACAAAGGAGATTTTTGTCCCCCTTTAACAGCAGAGCTGCAGCTCCCCCACACTTCCACTGTGGCCATTTTTTTCTGTTGTGGATTCGTCTGTACAGAGGAGCTCCTTCCCTTATTGTGATCTTATTCTGAATGAATGAATAAATGAATGAATGAATGAACTGGGATGGTGAATGGATGCAAAAAACTCCCTTTGTGCACAGAGTATGTAGTGGAAAAGGGAGATGCTGGGTGGCTCATCTTCCACAGCAGGGACTAGCAAAATACTGGCCTGTGTCTGAAGCATCTGCCAGAAGGAGTGTTGTGGAGCTGGGGCCATTTCCTCTTCTGCAGACCAGCAGTGGCTAAGGGGTTATTATGCCCACTGCCCTCCTTATGCCAGTTTTCTTCTTTGTCTCGCAGTCCGCTGGACCCCACCACCCACTTCCCTCCTGGGACGCCAACCTCCCTGGCCGGTGCCCACTGTACCACCTGGACCCCCAGAGCCTTCTCTGCCAGGTAGGTGGAGTGGGGTGGCTTCTGGTTATTATCCTCTCATTTTGGATTTGGCTCCATTGGCAGGGCAAAAGCCCTGGAAGAGGGGCAGGGTGGGATGGCAGGGTAAAGACGATCAAGAAGATGTTGGGACCTTAGAGAAGACAGCCAGCCTGTGACATTCTTTCTTCCTCCAGAGGCTGGCCAAGGTGTGTGTGAGCAACGCCCCCAGGTGTGTGGACCAGGGCGTTGTATTCCTCGCCAGGGTGGCTACACCTGTGTCTGTGAGCGTGGCTATTGGCTGAGCCCTCAAGGCACCCACTGTGTTGGTGAGTTGGGCAGGGGGACAAGAGACAGAGGA